TGGGATGCGGTAGGGGGAGGGGAGATTTTGAAACTTGTGAAATCCACCTCCCTAACCTCCTCCGTCCCCGCCTCCCTAACCTGTTCTTCCTCCCACCTATCCTCTCCTCCCACCTCAAGCCCCACCCCCATCTCCTACCTACTAACCTCATCCCGCCCCCTTGACCTGTCCGTCCTCCCTGGACTGACCAATCCCCTCATTAACTCCCCACCTACACTCACCTTTACTGGCTCCATCCCCGCCTCTTCGACCTGTTTGTTTCCTCTCCACCTATCCTCTCCTCTATCCATCTTCTATCCGCCTCACCCTCTCTCCCTATTTATTATAGAACCCCCTTCCCCTCCCCCATTTCTGATGAAGGGTCTAGGCCCGAAACGTCAGCCTTTCTGCTCTAATGATGCTGCTTCGCCTGCTGTGTTCATCCAGCTCCGCACCTTGTTGTCTCGGATTCTCCAGCATCTGCAGTTCCTACTATCTCTGATTCAATTATCTATTCACTTTTGTGTAGTATTGCAGGATTGCTACATTGTTGGAGGTACTGCCTTGTGGCTGATAAGTTAAAGCAAGTTGCCTCAACTGTATGCTTAGGTGGATATAAAAAGTGATATGGGGCACGAGATTGGTCTTCACAGTGGGTGATGAACAACTGCTACTTCATTTTACAACAACCTGATGATCCATGGATATGTAAACTCAACCACAGTGTAAAGCAGATTTCTGATTCACTTTTCACATTTTATGGCAAATGCCAGGAATAATTTGTTGGAAAAGCTCAGCAGGTCTGGCAGCATCTGTGAAGAAAAAATCAGAGTTAACATTTTGTGTACGGTGACCCTTCCTCAGACCTGATGGTAGCTGGGGAAAATATCGGTTTATATGCAGAAAATGGGGCGGTGGTGGTGGTGGTGGTGGTGGGGGGGGGGGGGGTGGTTAGGGAGTAAACGATAGGATAGAGCCCAAACAGAGAGAAGAACAGTTGGACAAAGGAGTTGATAATGATCTGGCTGGGAGGGTGAATAAGACCATAAGACATAGGAGCAGAAATTAGGCCATTCGGCCCATCGAGTCTGCTCCGCCATTCAATCATGGCTGATAAGTTCCTCAACCCCATTCTCCTGCTTTCTCCCCATAACCCTTGATCCCATTGATGATCAAGAACCTATCTATCTCAGTCTTAAATGTACTCAATGACCTGGCCTCCACAGCCTTCTATGGCAGTGAATTCCATAGATTCACCACTCTCTGGCTGAAGTAGTTTCTCCTTATCTCTGTGCTAAAAGGTGTTCCCTTTACTCTAAGGCTGTGCCCTCGGGTCCTAGACTCTCCTACCAATGGAAGCATCTTCCCAACATCCACTTTGTCCAGGCCATTCAGTATTCTGAAAGTTTTAATTAGATCCTCCCTCATCCGTCTAAACTCCAATGAGTATAGTCCCAGAGTCCTCAAACATTTCTCATATGTTAAGCTTTCCATTCCTGGGACCATTCTCGTGAACCGCCTCTGAACCCGGTCCAGGGCCAGCACATCCTCCCTGAGATATGGGGCCCAAAACTGCACGCAATACTCCAAATGTGGCCTGACCAGAGCCTTATAAAGCCTCAGTAGTACATCCCTGCTTTTATATTCAAGTCCTCTCAAAATAAATGCCAACATTGCATTTGCCTTTCTGACTATTGACTCAACCTGCAAGTTTACCTTGAGAGGATCCTGGACTAGAACTCCCAAGTCTCTTTGTACTTCAGACTTCCGAATTTTCTCCCCATTTAGAAAATAGTCCATGCTTTTATTCTTCTTACCAAAGTGTATGACCTCACACTTTCCCACGTTGTACTCCATCTGCCACTTCTTCGCCCACTCTCCTAACCTGTCCAAGTCCTTCTGTAGCCTCGCCACCTCCTCAACACTACCTGTCCCTCCACCTATCTTTGTATCGTCTGCAAACTTAGCCAGAATGCCCACAGTTCCTTCATCTAGATCATTAATGTACAAAGTAAAAAGTTGTGGTCCCAGCACTGACCCTTGCGGAACTTCGCTTGTCACCAGCTGCCATGCTGAGAAAGACCCCTTTATCCCTACTCTCTGCTTTCTGCCAGACAGCCAATCTTCTGCCCATGCTGGCACCTTGCCTCTAACACCATGGGCCCTTATCTTACTCAGCAGCCTCCTGTGTGGCACCTTATCAAAGGCCTTCTTGAAGTCCAGATAGGTAACATCCATTGGCTGTTGTTAGTTGTTAATGGGGACTCAGAGATAGTAAGAACTGCTGATGCTGGAGTCAGAGATAACACAGTGCGGAGCTGGAGGAGCACAGCAGGCCACGCAGCATCAGAGGAGCAGCAAAGTTAATGTTTCGGGTTGATACCCTTCTTCAGAAAATATTTTTCAGACGTCAACTTTCTTGCTCCTCTGCTGCCTGGCCTGTTGTGTTCCTCCAGCTCCACACTGTGTTATATCTGTTAATGGGGACTGTTGTCTGTCCAGCTGTTCTTCTCTCTGTTGAGGCTCTATCCTACTGTTTACTCCCTACCCCACCCACACCCCTCCCTATTTTCTGCATATAAACTGACGTTTTCCCAGCTATCATCTGTTCTGAGGAAGGGTCACCGGACCTGAAATTTTAACTCTGATTTTTTCTTCACAGATGCTGCCAGACCTGCTGAGTTTTTCCAGTAACTTCTGTTTTTGCTCCTGATTTACAGAATCTGCAGTTTTTTCGGTTTTTACTAGGAATAATTTCATCCAGCCTTTCTGATGAAGAGAGCCAGAAGTTCTCTTGGCATCTGGCCAACATTCATCCCTTAACCAATATTACAACAACACATTAATTGCCAATTCATCTCATTACATGTTTACAGAATCGTGTTATGTGAATTTGTAAATTAGTTCTGCTGATCAAACCGTGACATGACTTCAAAAGAATTTGGCGCTGTGAAACACTTTGGAAAGTTCAGAGGACATGAAAGAGGTGGTAAAAATCTAAGTATCTTATTTCCATCAGTGGTCTCTTACATACTTTGGGGGTTCTAAACTGGTACTGTGAGCAAGCTAATCAGAAATAGAGGAATGGAAATTGCACATACTGATCTCTAATTATAATACATATCATGCACTTTGATGGTTTATACAGGACTTGGTGCATACAACAACTCTCACTGAAAGCATGAAATAGATTTACCATAATCTCATAATCGCCAAATGAATGACAGCATAAGTCGGCCTAACTCATTTCCAGATTGGACTCTGACAAACCAGTATTACTAGTTTCTGTTTTGAAAAGATTAAAAGATACACACTGTAGATACTTTAATTTTTTTTTAGACTGTACTTCAAGGGAATCTGTGGAATATTTTACAGGTGATTTGGCATCTCAGTAGCTTATGTATGCACTGGGCTGATAAATGGCAAATAATATTTGTGCCACACAAGTGCCAGGTGAATACCATCTCTAACAGACAAAATTACCTATCATTCCTTGAAATTCAATGGCAATACCACTGCTGAATGATCCCCCAATATGAACATCTTGGGGTTACAATTTACAAAAACTCAAATAGACTAACTATGTACATACAATAGCTGCAACAGCAAGAGAAATGGGCATTCTTTGGCAAGAAACTCACCTGGTGACTCTCCAAAGCCCAGCATCTAGAAGGCCCAAGCCAGGACAACTGACCATGGCAGCTGCATGCACCATTTACAACATGAATCATACCAAGCTTCCCTCGACAGCAACTTTCAACCCATCACCTCCACCAGCCTAAAAGCGCAATGGCAGTCAATGAGTGGAAACAGCAACACCCGTATGTTCGCTCCGAGACAACATACTATTCTAACTTGGAACTCCCACCACTGTTCCACAGGACTGTAGTGTACCTACACCGCATGAACTGCATTTCAAGAAAATGGCTCATCTCCAACTGGTCAAGGACAATTAGGGATGGGCAACAAATGTTAACGTTGCCTGTGACACCACATCATGTGAAAGAATAAATAAATAAATTGACCGTGAAGATCTCCATGACAATCCCTGTTTTTCAAGGAAGAAAAAGTGCAGTAAAAACAGACGTGGTTTCACTGGAGGTGAATGTTGCACACCTGTTATTCAAGGTTAAAATGCACCAGAGAGACAGTGATAAGAGTTGTATCATATTGTGGAATCTGACCATGAGCCAAACTCCACCAATAATCACAGTACAGACAGTAGCTGTCAAGGTCACTTCTGCTTTAAGACTTTATGCCCCA